CACTCCAACTGCTAACTTTCAGTTTTTCATTATCCCCCATGCCTGAAACACTTTCCTTTCTCATCTCTGCTTTCCAGCTTCCCTGGCTTCCTTCAGGGCTCAGCTAAAGTCTCACCTTCTGCAGGAATCCTTTCCCACTCTTCTTTAATCTTGGTGCTTTCCCTCAGAAACTACTCCCAACTTATTCTTCTTTATTTTGTAAGCAATCAGGGTTAAGTGACTTGCCCAGGGTCACACAGCTAGTAAGTATCTGAGGTCACATTTGAACTCAGGTCCTCCTAACTCCAGGGCTGGTGCTCCATCTACTGAGCCCACCTAGTTGCTCTCAATTTATTCTTTATATTTTTTGTTCGTATATTGATATTTGTATGTTGTTTCCTTTATTAGAATGTGAACTTCTTGAGACCAAGGACTGTTTTGTTTATGTTTTTTTGCCTTTCTTTGTACCCCTAGTGCTTTAAAAAGTGTCTGGCACATAGTAGGCACTTTAAAATGCTAATTGACTGACTTCAAGATTCTTAGACATGGCTAGGCTCCATCATTGGAGGGAACATTTAATTGGTGTGATCCGTTTGAGCATGCATTTTTGATGTATAAGACACTCTGGTGTTGGGGATTGCAAAGATGAAAAATGATAGTCTATGCCCTCGGGGAAGTTACAGTCTAATAGGGAAGATAACACATTTACATGTAACACATTTTACTGTACTGCCTACCCCCTCTCTCTGTGCTCAAAGAAAGGTGGAATGGGGCTTTGAGCCAGGGGAAGAACAGATAATCACAGGAAATGACCCAGCTGCCTCGGGGAATGCCATGATCATGATTAAGAATACCTGGGTGGTAGTGCCTGACTGTTGACTTACTATTTTTTCACCCTGCTCAGTGACAGGCTAGCCAAAGATAAAGGTGGTCAGTGCTCTAGGCTGAGACCAGACAGCTGAGTTTGGGGAAAGAAAAAATGTCTCATGCATTGCAGTGTACACTGGATCCCAAGTTCGTCCTCTTCCTGAGTTGAGGGTGTGAGTCCAGTGATTCTACTTTTCCATCTGATCTGCCCAGTTGCATTTGAAATCAAACTTCCTATGGAAATTATATTGTTTACGTGCCTGCTCAAGGGAGAGCTCAAAATGTATATTTCCCAGAATACTTGAGTTCAGATTTATCCCAAGAATTGTTAGGCAGCTTGCTGGAGTGGATGGAGTGCTAGAAGATGAGGAAGAGAAGAAGGCAGGGGTGTCTTTCCCCAGAAACCATATCCTACCTCCCATGAGCAACAGAGCCATTTCAGCAAGTCCTCATTTTACTGCAGTACTTTGTTCAAATTGAGTACATATATCACAAAGAGGACCTGCCAATTATCCTAGGTTACCCCTAAAACATTGGATTGAATTGTTATGGTTATTATTACATAGTAGTGCATCCACTGGGAACTTCCTCCTACAAAAGAATTGTCTATGACTCAGAACTAAAGTTCGGCATATTCCTTATGGATCCTAAAGCAATTTTTTTAATCACTCATTTGTCTTCTCTAAAACCTTTATATTACTTCAACATCTCCTCATGCTACCCTAGAGAGAGGTGGAACAGGGGATAAATGATAGAAGACTCACTGAGAACCACAGAGAATCTCATACTTATTTAGCATTTCTACCTGTTGGAGAAAGTTCAAATTGCCAGGGTAAGTGTAGCGCTCCTAGATACCAGATACTTTTTCTTCTACAGGATAAGATGATTAGCTATCAACAAACCCTGGTTGTGAAATACACAGCTTTTGGGGGTATATTACCCAAAGAAAGAATTACTATAAAGGCAGAGGAAGGTTCCAGACAGAGTGCTTTAAGAAATGAGAAGTGATTACTTTCATTTGAGGTAGGGAGGGTAGGTAGGAAAATGAGGGAAGACTTTATTTATGAGGTTATCATTTGAACTGGGCCTTGAAGGAAAATGAATTCAATTGGCCTGGAGAGGTAAGAGGGAAGGTGTTTCAGATATGTAGGAGAGGTTGCCCAAATACATGAAGTCAGAAGGCACATCATGATCAAGTAACAGCTACTAATCCAGTTAGGCTGAAGCAAAAAGAATATGAAAGATATGGTGAAAGAAGGCTATATAGGTTGTAGCCAAATCATAGAGGGTTTAATAGGCCTTTTTTCTCTGCTCTCTTCTCAGTGAAATCCTTTGTTGTGGGACTGCTTATGGCATAAAAACATACTGTGTTTTTGATAATTTTTCTCTTTACCTGACTTAAGCCACTACTCAGAAACCTAACCTGAATTTTTTTTTCTGGACAATCTAGGAGCCTGGCACCACCTCCTCCACTTAATTTCAAGAAATATCTATATACCAGGTTTTGCAGGCCCTGGGGATACAACAACAACACAGCAGTTCCTGCCCTCAAAATGCTTACATTCTTATGGGAAGGGGTGTATAGGTAGAGATTTTCCTCCCTTGACTACAACGACATGTCCACAAAGTAGTATTCAAAAATCAAAGTATGCTGGCTTACATGTGAAAATAGTTTATTAGGTACCACTACAGAGAATAAAAATTTTAAACATCTTATCATATCCAAATCCATACATGTTTCTGCTCAATGTCCTCTAGAATCACAATCTTAGAACTTGAAAGCTTTAGTGTGGTTGATTCCTCTCATTCCAATAAATAGGCTGGAATCACCAGGGTATTTTATACATTATTATCAGCTAGGTGTGGAGCTGGATAGACCTGGCCTGGCCTGGAGTCAGGAAGACATCTTCCAGAGTTCAAATCCAGCCTCAGACATTTACTAGCTGTGTGACCCTGGGCAAGTAACTTCACCCTATTTGCCTCAGTTTCCTCATCGGTAAAATGAGCTGGAAAAGGGAATGGCAAACCACTCCAATATCTTTGCTAAGAAAACCCCAAATGAAATCATAAGGAGTCAGACAAGAATGAAAAATGACTGAACAACAACAACAAATCATGATTATACCGGTTTGGGAGAAAAGTATTCTTTTATCTCATGCTTCTTAGTTTCAGAGAAAGACACCCACAAAGTGATACATCTACCCATCTCCTGAGGTTTTTGTTTTTGTTTTTTGAGGGCTTTCTTCCAAAGTGGTCCAGCAGTGATGGATGGGAAGATGGATGGAAAAGTGGAAGCGGAAAAAGTCTGATGAAGATTCTTTTTCCTTCATATATACTTTGTTTTATAACTCTCGAATTCATTTATGATGCAGTATTCCCTCTTTGTGATGTCATCTTTCCCCAGACTGCCACTCCTTAAGGGCAAAAGACCCTGTCTTCTCTAAATTTTCTCTCTCCTAGTTCCTGAAACAGTACTTTTCATCTAGTAGGCCCTTAATAACTGTGACATACTCAGTTAGTGTATACCTCAGCTCTGATGGCCCTTTTTCTGTTACCACGTAGAAGATGAGGAAGGGGTGTCTTTCCCCGGAAACCATATCTTACCTCTCCATAAGCAACAGAGCCATTTCAGCAAAACCTCATTTTACTGGAGTACTTTATTCAGATTGAGTACATATATCACAAAGAGGGCCTGACAATTATCCTAGGTAACCCCTAAAAACGTTGGATTGAATTGTTATGGTTATTACATAGTAGCGCATCCACTGGGAACTCCCTCCTACAAAAGTATCGTCTACGACTCAGAACTAAGTTCAGCATATTGCCCTTCCTTATGGGTCCTAAAGCGATTTTTTTTTAAATCACTCATTTGTCTTCTCTAAAACCCTTATATTACTTCAACTTCTTCTCTGGATAATTAAATTTCCAAATTATCACTACTTGGACTAATTTTGTTAAGTGCTTACGATTTCCTTGCACAATTCCAGCTGCGTTTCATTTTCCAGATCAGCTGGTCTATAGTTGGGCCCCATTACCCCCAGTATTTTGTATGGAACTTAACACCCACAGAGATTTCACATTACTTTGCTTGGCTGTAAGATTTTCATCCTGTTATTGTTTACGTTGTTGCTCTCCTAAATCCCTCCTTCGACTCTCTTAAATCAGTCTGGTAACTTATTGGAAGGAAGCCCAGAAAAAAGACTCCCCAAGTGTCCCCCCCCAAAATATCTGAAAACAGTTCCATGGTTTACATCTTTTCTAAATGTCACACAGTCTGTCCCTTAACCTCTATATAAGTTTAGTTCGGGTTTCTAGTGATAAGCATTTTTTTTTTTACCTCCCCATACAAAGACCCCAGGTTGGAAAATTCTTGCAACAGGGGGGAAAAGGTCGCAATTCTTCAGCATCCGTCCCCCCGAGGGCTTGGGGATGTTGGGGGAAGGATATTTCAGTTGGTCCAGGCTGGCTGGTCCACCCTCTAAGTGGAGGGTGTCCCTGAAGTCTGCATCCCACCCCTCACCCTCGCCGCGGGAAGGCGCTGGGAACGCAGAGGGAGGGAGGGATGGGAAGAAGGCGGAGGGACTTGGGAGCTGGGACTGGACTTCCTCTCCCGATTCCGGAACTGTGCGCTGGGGAGAGGCAGAAACACGGAAACCCAACCTGCTCCTACGGTTGAAGCAGCCTTCGGCTGGCGACGCCTCCAAGCCGACAGCTGGGAGGAGCTCGGGCTTGGGAGCGCAGCCCGGGGAAGAGCGCTGGGCTGCAGACTACAGCTGCCTCTGCTTCTAGGGCGCTGTTGCACCCCTTTTTCTTTCCCTGCTCCTCTGAGGAAGCAGACCGCTGCTCCCAGCCCGAACCCCAGCCTCAGCCCCAGTTGCGCTCCCTTCTCCCTAGTGAGCGGAGCCCGACGCGGGGCTGCAGTCCCGGAGCGAACCCGCACTCCGCTTTCTCCCGGAGCCGGCTGCAGCAGACGGGACGAAGGGGCTGGGAGTGAGGGCTGTAGGGGGCGGGCCAGGGCCGGGCCTGGTGGAGGACGATGTGACCAGCGGGGCCGCTGGCGGGCGGGCAGGGGGCGGAGCCGTAAGGAGCCGCGGGATTCCGGGGCGAAGGGACAGAGGCAGCAGCCCCGACGGGACAGAGGGGACGGCGGCAGCGGCGGCTGCGGCCGCAGCGGGAGGCGCGGAAGATGTGGCTGAAGCCAGAGGAGGTGCTGCTGAAGAACGCCCTGAAGCTGTGGGTCACCCAGAAGAGCAGCTGCTACTTCATCCTGCAGCGCCGGAGGGGCCACGGGGAGGGCAGCGGCCGCTTCACGGGTAAGAGGCACGAGCCCAGGTGCCTCTCGGGGCTCCCCAGAGAGAAGGAACGGACAGCCGGGCCAGGGCCACTGGTAGGGTCGAGGGAGAGGGGAGCCCGACGGCCGGGCTGAGCAGCGGGTTGGGGACAAAAGAAGGAGGGGGTAGCTTTGGAGGTCAGAAGAGGGAGCTTGGATACTGGGCAGACGGCGGAGCCAGAGCGTTCATAGCTAAAAGGGACGACCCCCTGGAGGTTTCCCCCTCCTTGGGCTGCTGGGCAAAGCTGGAGAAAGGGGGATGTCGAACCTCTTAAGCTGGCACTGGTCAGCTACCTCCTAGTTGCGAGTTAGTGAGTTGGAGGTGAAGGAGTCACTGGTTGACTCTTAGGATTTGGGATTTTCTTTCTAATTGCACTTGCAAAAACCCTTCTACGCTATGGTGTGAGAGGTCTGGCGGGTGGAAGGCTACGGGGTTAGAGCTAGGCGGCCCAACTTCATTATAGAACTGCAGGAGGAAAACTGCCTTTCGAGTAAACAAGAGTTTTATTGAGGGCCTGAATTAGAGAGATAGGCTTTGTTTAGAAAGAAGCAGGAAATTCTGTTTCCACCTGTGCAGGTGCGTGGCGATAACCCTCGGGGATGGAGCTTGTGCAGTCTGCCCTAGGGCCATCCTTTGAGGAAGCTTGGGTTAGCGTCTGGGAAAGGGTAACCTGGGTCCTAGGTGGGTGCTTAAGGGAGTAGGATCCTATCTGGTTCAGCCCAGCCAAGAAAACTGAGGAATTAGGTTCACCTACGAGGATTGCTAAACTTTTTCGTGGGGGTGGCTCTTGGGGGGAGTGGGTAGCTCCAGAGTTTCAGCTCTATATGCCTCGATACAAGAGGTACTTGAGGGGTTATCACATTAGCGAGGGAGGGGAAGCTGGAGGAGTTACTGTACTGTCATTTCTAAATCTAATCTTCCTGATTGCAAAATGAAACGGTTTAACTTTTTTTTTTTTGGCTTTAGTTTCCTCTAAGGGATGATCTGAGACAAAAATCTGGATTGCTAAAGGAGGAAAGAAATCTTAAATTAATACAATAGAAAGTAAACTCTCTGAGGACAGAGCGTGATTGGTTGTTGTTGGTTTTTTTTTTTTTTTGATCTGTCTCCAGCATTTAGCACAAAGCCTTGAATTCAGAAGGTGATTACTAAACGTTTGTTGAAGAGACAAAGGTGTGTTAAGAAATGCCATATGAAAACCAAGGGAATTGGTCAACAAGTTTCATCAGCTGGGATAACTGTAGGCACAGCTGTGTGCTAGGTGCAGTAGGGAATGCAGAAGTAGTTTGAGGACTATAAAATATGTGGGGAAGTGAGATAAAAAATACTGTATGATTGGAAAGTTTTGTGATACAGGTATTCAGAGAAAGGAGTTAGCATTGTGGGTCAGAGTACTTTGCTTGTAGGGATGTGACTTAAACTGAGCCTCTAAAAATGAGTAGGAGTTGGATAGGTGGAGAAGATCAAGGATAGCATTCTAAATGGGGGAAAGGGATACTTTCCATGTCATTGCTCATGCCATATGAGTGGGAGGGAGTCAATGGGAAGAATGCTCTATCTGAAGGAAGAGGATCAGGTTATTTGGAACATGAAGTTATATGCTAGCTAGACACAGGAGTTTAGACTTGATCAAAAAGAGTCATGGGCAGTTAGGTGGAGAAGTGGATAGAGTGTTTGGCCAAAAGTCAGGAAGAGTGATCTTCCTGAGTTCAAATCTGGCCTCAGCCACTTACTAACTGTGTGACCCTGGGCAAGTCTCTTAACCCAGTTTGCTTCAGTTTTCTCATTTGTAAAATGAGCTGGAGAAGGAATTGGCAAATCACTCCAGTCTCTTTGCTAAGAAAACCCCAAATGAGATCATGAGTAGTCAGACGTGACTGAAAAATGACTGAATAACAATAAAAATAAACCATTGGAGGGTCTTGAAGAGAGAGGAGTTTTTATTGTTATTCGGAATGAATTTAAGGAGATAGGAAAGATTCGATTTGGGGAGATATACTTTTTAGGATGTGTACTTGAATATCAGCTTGGAGTTAAGCATGATAGCTCTTCTTTAAGATTGGAAGGTTGCTTGGAATTTGAGTGAAATGGAAAATTGAAAGTATCTGTGGAAATAAGAATTATTTGGGGAGGAGGTGTAGGGAGGGAGGCTATGAGACTTCCTGTTGACTTATCAATCTGTATATCATTGGGCACATTATAGGTTGTCCAGTAATTAATAATAGATTTAAAGCATCTATTGAATGTTGCATTCGATGTCATTGAATCCATTATAGTGTTTCCCCAGGCCTGGGTCCTAATTGTTTCTTGATTATAATTGTGAGACTAGTCTAGTGAACCTAACAAGTATAAGTGATAATATTCTTTTAGGATCATAGATTTAGAGCTGGAAGGGACTGAGAAGTCATTTAGTTCAATCTTCTCATTTTACAAATTAGAAAACTGGGACCCAGAGAGATTGAGTGACTTTCCAAGGGTCACACAGCTGGTATGTGTCAGAGAAAGGATTTGAATGCATGTCTTTCTGATTCCAAGTCCAGCACTCTGTCCACCACACCTCACTTGTCCAAAACAAACACACACACACACACACACACACACAAATCCAATCCTGAAGAACAAAACAAATAATAAAAACAAAACCCCAGAGGCAGAGGGTGTTAAGGGTGTTGGCCCTAAGAATTGAAAGAACTCAGGTTTCCTGACTTTAATTTCCTAGGGACACAGTGTACCCTGTTGACCTTAGTGATGGCACAGAGTTTTTCAGTTTTATGCCATTCACTTCTAGATATGAGACCATGAAACAAGTTGCATTTGTTTTGTAGTTGGAAAGACCCTGAGTTATCAGGTCAGATTGTCCTTAAAGGGAACCTTATGCTCTAACACAGAGTAAGAGAAATGTCACTGTTATGAAGGTTTGGGAAATTATAGGAATTTAATCTGGTAACATTAGAGACCTCAGAAAAGAAAGAATACTCTGGATAAATTTTGAGTGAAATTCATTCTTTTAAACCCTAAAAATTTGAAGTAAGATGTTTAGAAAAATGAAATGTGAGAAATTCCTTGACTTTTGCAGAAAGTCAATAGAGAAAGACACAGTTCAAGTAATACTAAGGATAAACTATAAGTAGACAATTGTGAGGGGAAAAAAAAAAACAAAACTCTGTACTATAGGACTACAGGCAGCTAGGTGGCCAGGAATCAGGAAGACCTGAGTTCAGATCTGGTCTCAGCTGTGTGACCCTGGGTCATTTAACTCTGCCTCAGTTTCTTTATTTGTAAAGTGAGCTAGAGAAGGAAATGGCAAAGCACTCCAGTATCTTTGCCAAGAAAACACCAAATGGGGGCAGCTAGGTGGCGGAGTGAATAGAGCTCCAGCCTTGGAGTCAGGAGGACCTCAGTTCAAATCCAGCCTCAGACACTTAACACTTACAAGCTGTGTGACCCTGGGCAAGTCACTTAACCCTGATTGCCTCACCAAAAAAAAAAAAAGCAAAGAAAAGAAAACACCAAATGGGGTCATGAAGAGTCGACCGTGACTGAAAGAACTGAACAACATAGGACTAGGGGTTAGAAGACCTGGGTTTTAGTACTGATTCTGCCACTAGCTTCCTGTCACCTTGAATAAAGCAAGCTTCTATAACCTTCAGTTTCTCATCTGTAAAATGAAAGGAGTAGATGAAATAGTTTCTTAGGTCCCTTTTAGCTCCAGTCCTATAAGTCTTAATTTTTATATGGTGTTGAACTTTACTAAGGGATTATGGTAGGAAAGAGAGGAGAGTATAGTCAGAACAGGAGTGCTGGCCTAGAACAGTAGGGGGAAATGATAGATTTGGAGGTCAAGTAATAAATGAGGAATGGATTTAGGAAAAGTAAGGCCTGGGGAGAAATAGAGAGATAAAAGATTATGATCATATTAGAGTTCTCAAACATGGAAGCAGAACACTTGTGGGGGATGGCCTAGGGATGACCATCCCATTCTTTTATAACCTTTACTTTTTCAAAAGAGGAAAAAAATGGCCAGGGCTGGGGTAGGTGAAGAGATAACAAACTTCATCCTTTTACTACTATTTCTCAGGCAGCAGGATAGGTAAACTCATCTTTACCCTCCAGGGTTTGCACTTCCTTATTACTAAGTTTGAGGAATTCAAAGAGGTCAGTGACAGTCTTCTTTTGTTCTTTCAGGTTAGCACTTACCAGGAGTGCTACAGACTCCCTAGGTGTCAGTGAAAGTGTATAAACACTTTCCCCTCATCTCATTAAATATAAATCAAGTAGGTTTAGCATAAAAGAGGCTGTTAATCTCTAGGTCAACGTGTAAGTCAGCCCAGAGAGACTCAATGATTCTCACTTGGACTGATCATACCAGTTATGGGTCAGACTTGCCTTTGCTAAGTGTGCCACTGTTCGAGGTTTTCAGAGTGCCAACATTAATGATGTTGGTGCATCCAAAGGGAAATAAACAACTGTGCAATATTAAGTTGGCCATGGTGCCAAGCACCTAGTTGGACCCTTAAGTTCAAGTTGCCCTGGGATTATAGAATGTGTTAAGAATGAGCATTTTGGAGAAAATAGAGAAATTAATAGATCATGATTTTCTTCTATCCCACCTATCTGGTTTACCACAACTATTTAAAATGTCTTATAAAAATGTAAGAGTTGATCATCTATCAGAGACCAGGTCTGCCCTTTGGAGGACTTTCTTGCTTTTATCCTCTAGTGCTTTCAATATCTTCATTCCTGTGCCCTCTTGTAGCTTGATGGTATGAATTGATCTTTGCGCTATTTTCATAGTTGGAGGTATTCTCTCCAGCAGTATAGATCATAACCCATTTCTGCTTGCCCATCCTTCTGAATCTTGCCACGTCTTCCAGTAAATTTTCCATATGGTGTCCAACCAATATTTTGGGTGCTATCCTCAACTTGTTTTGGTTTTGTAAGGATAATGAAGCACGATTGGTTGTTCATTGGCTCTACGTGAT